TATGTGCATTCATGTGAGGTAATATATGTATAACTGGGGGCTGCAGCATTGATGCGACGAATGGTGGTGATAAATTGAAAAAGCGAATGATCCTGACACCAACTTTAGTGCATGACAAAAAGGTGTGTATGTGGATAAATTTACATCTTGAAATTTACTTTTGGGTAACCACTTTAATGCGCGAGGCAATGAAAGTCAAACTGCACGTGCACAAATCGCATCCCCTCACGCCTTGCGTCTCATCGTCAAAAGTAGAGTCGAATGATATTTATTAAGGCGGTAATAATTACCACGATGTTAAAAGGCGCGGAAGGAGGGTAAGTGCGCAGTTGTAGTCCAAAGAAATCACCTTTACCAGATTAGGCAGATGGTGAACTTGTGGAGTCGTATTATGTTGTGAATCCTGCGGAACGGGAATGCACCATAGTCATAGATCGTGGCACCTGATAAGCCTGCTTACAGTTCACATTTTCTGCAAAGAAAATATTGAAAACATTTGCCTTATTAAGGTCTACGTGGTCAACAGAAAGTGGTTATACTGAAGGTACTTATGTAGAGGCTGCGAGGTCCACATGTCGTTGGATTAGCTAACTTTCAAAGTAGTATTTGAAGATTATGAACAGTTGGCTGTAAATCAACTCTAAAGCGGACTTTAAATAACTTGTCGGAATTTTGTTTTCTTAAGCTCAGATGTAAAATTACTGAAAGGGTTCCTACTTCCTGACTGCAGAAATTTGACTTAGTAGGCAACTCGGTCAGTACGGTTGCATTATTGAAGGAAAAGTTCTGAAAACCATTTGAAATATACGACCAACCAACAGACATTGAATAGGAAAACTAAAAGTTCCCTACACTTTCCATGTTTGCGTTCCTGATGCCAATCATATCGCCATTTGCTAGGATAATGATGAAGAACTATTTTCTCTGGCAAATGTCATGAATATTTTGATGAGGAAATTCGTCTAGTATTTTACAAGGTCTAATGCGTGGTAAATATGGTTGAAGAATAATTCATCTGTATACCATCCCCAGAGCTTTGAATAAATAGCTTCGAACGACATTTTATAACTGCAGAATACTTAAGACAACCTAACTGTTGAGATAAGCACCACTACAGCCTGAGCTTTTCATAAAGAGACACAATCCTGCTATAACTTCCACTTTTATAATACTTGTGTCCCTGTACGCAAAAATCGGGCCCTAGCTGCCATCGCTTTCACCTTCCTTTCATTTTTTTTTACCTTTCCATGCCATCTTGCATGTGTTCCCCCGCTGGCGTCCAGAAAAGGTGATAACCACCTGAAGGAAGGCTTGGTGAATACGAGGGGACGAGGATGAGGCAATATCTTTCTCCAATCCTAGGTTGAAGTACAGATCTACTCACGACTAAGCTGTGCAGCATGCGGTTTATGGTATGAGATTTTGCGTTACTTTTTAAAAATTTCTTCTGCACAGCTCCAAGTTGTATCGAGCTGATACATCTCAATCGTAATGGTTAGGTCTTCAGCTAGAAATTCATGGTGAAAGCAATTCCATTTGCAGTCCACCACATGCGCACAAAGGTAGGCAGAGTCTTGATTTGTGAGGACAATGTGGTACGTGCCGTAGAAGCGTGGGGTGTTAGTGTGTTGTTTGGGGCTAACCAATGACGTGTTTAGTCGGTTAATGCTGAATGACGTGAGACGTTTCTTGCAACAAGTCGGACAGTTTACTAAAATATCCCAACTGTGCGGTACGGAACAAAGACGTGAGAGAGAAGAAGGACAAATTGAGAGTTGTTGAGGCCTTTCGTCACATACTTATTGAAATGAGACTTATCTGTTTGGTTACTGTCATGGCTTTCCCAATTGCTGTAGGTGTAAACCAATCATTTCCCAATTTTTACGATGGACACCAGCGCAATGTTTCGTTCCTACCACTGGCAACAGGTCCTTCTCTATTTTGATTAAAAAAATGCAATCCCAGTGAGCGTGTTCAATCTTTGAGGGATTAATCAAGCTGTTTGCTTCTGAATGGTAAGCTTTAAGAGAAGCCTCTGCAGTCCTAAGAAGGAATTCAGCTCGGTCCGTAAGGTTAACAAGCTCGGATAGCAGGAAAATAGTACAGAACACAATATCCACCCCCTAGAATTCCTGTAAATAAACAGTCGCATGCATTTTACGATGCCCTACAAGTACCGCGAGTCAGCGAGAAAAACCGAGAGCCGCGCAAACCTTTTAGCCCATTTATACGTGCCTTTAAGAGGGGGTGAATAAGATAAAGCAAATAGCCTCCTATTTTCATAAATATTATCCACATTTTGGAGGTGATTTAGAGGCAGAAATTGGTTTTTTCTCTTAGACACCAAAAAATTGATCGAAAACCCATATATTTTAGAACCTTTAACTATAACTGTCCAAAAATCGAATGAATGCATTTTCCTTCGAATTC